TCGACGGGGGGTTGTGGGGGGGCCCGAGCCGCCGGCTGGGGTTAAAGCACGAGAACACGTCCAGACAGCTTCTGAATATCTTCAGGGAGGGAGACTCCACAGCCTCCCTGGGCAAATGTGCCAGTCACCCTTACCATACCAAGAAAAAAAGTGTTTCCTGATAGAATCATCGAATAGTTTAGGTTGGAAAAGACCTTTAAGATCATCCAGTCCAACCATTAACCTACACTACCAAGTCCACACTAAACCAATCAAGGGTAGACTAGACTGAACCATGTCCCCAAGTGCCACCTCTGCCCGTTTTTTGAACACTTCCAGGGATGGGGACTCCACCACCTCTCTGGGCAGCCTGTTCAATGCTCGACTACCCTTTCTGTGAAGAAATTTTTCCTAATTTCCAACCTAAACCCCCCCTGGCACAGCTTGAGCCCATTTCCTCTCGTCCTATTGCTAACTACTTGGGAGAAGAGACCAACACCCCCCTCACTACAACCTCCTTTCAGGGAGTTGTAGAGAGCGATATGATGTTTGACTCTCTCCAGTATTTCCATGTCTCTCTTGTACTGCCCCAAACTGGACACAGTACTCCAGGTGTGGCCTTACCAGTGCCGAGCAGAGGGGAATGATGACCTCCTTGACCTCCTAACACAGCCCAGGACACCATCTGCCTTCTTTGCCGCAAGGGCACATCACGGGCTCATGTTCAACTTGGTGTTCACCAGGACTCCCGGGCCCTTTTCTGCAAAGCTGCTTTCCAGCTGGGTGGGCCCCAGCATATCTATATTCACGCATGGGGTTGTTCCTCCCCAGGTGCAGGACTTTCCACTTCTCCTTGCTTAATGCGCGAGATTCCTGTGAGACCGTTTCTCCAGCCTGTGGAGGTGTCTCCGGATAGCAGCACAACCCTCTGGCATATCAGTCACTCCTCCCAGGTTTGCATCACATGCAGACTTGCTGAAGGTACACTCCACCACATCATCCAGATCATTAATGAAGATCTTAGCCACAGGTTGTGGCTGTCAGCTGAGGAAATGGAAAGTGCCAAGACCCACAATGAGAAGCTAGAGACATTGAAGCTGAACCAGCAAAGTACAGGACGGTGCATGTATGCAATGAAGGAAAAGGAAAGATCCTTTCACATGAGAATGAGGGGATTTGCTTTTCAACACATATGCACATAGTTTTTAATATAGCTTTTATAGGTAGTGCATTTTGACAAATTTGATTTATTAATAAGCCTTTTTTGTAACGGGAATTGATTAGAAAGAAGCCATGCTTTTTTTGCCATTCATTATCACACTAAAGAATATATATAATCAAGTACTCTGAAATTGTTATTAGCCTTCGTGACTTTAGTTTTCTGGGTAAAGATCACATTGCATGAGGTATTGCTACAATACAAAAAAAATCAGTAAAATATGTACACCTAATATTTGCTTCCTGTATTTAGTTTGAACAGCTATTTATACTGAAGAGCTGTTTGTAAGTGTAAGAGTTCCCTAAAGGGCCTATCTGAAATGTCATCAGCACACAGATAAAGCATACGCATGACAAAGATGGAGTGTCTAGTTTTTAGTTGTCACATACCAAAATGTCTCCACTGAAAACTTAGAGACAGACCCAGTAATGCTCCATGACAGAGTCATTTTGCTCCTAAAGACTAACAGAAATTTTACCCCAATTACAGCATAGTAGGATTAAGCACAAATAAATCACTAATAGGTTTTCCAAATATTGCCTCTCTTGTGTGAATTTAAAACAGATACTGTATTTTCTCATCCAAAGTCCTGACCTGATGGCTCATTGTCATGCTCAAAGACCATAAAATCCAAGTTTATCCTGATGTGTAAAACAAATGGTAGAATTAACATCTTAATGACTATACCAAACTAGCTCCAAACTCAAACTAGCCCCCAAAACCTCATAGTTTTCCAGGTTCATTACTGAAACCATCTGGGAGATCCCAGAAGGAAAACAAACAACTCCCCATGTCAGTCTTTAGGATCTCCTCACAGAAGGAAAG